TCAAAGACATAGTTGCCTCCAAGTCTTTTACTATATTCTCACCGCTATGCTATAAACTCCATGCTCAGATGGCCTGGCCTGCATGGGTTTGCTTAGCTCTGTATTTTTATGTCTGAATTTTATTTAGAGTTTCTTTTTGTGAGCACTCGTTTTTTGCATCAAATTTGCATGCGCGCAGGAGTGAGATAATCCAAGCTTTTGGAGCATTTAGGTTACTGTGACATTTTTTCCTCCAGCTCCTCCACAACCCAAATAATAACACCCATTCTGAAAAGGTCCTACCGATCATTTACCGAAGACAGTACCAGTTGGTGTATCTGCAGAAGAACGCAGTCTGCAATTACCAATCTGTCATTTTTGGGTCAACTAGATGTAGAGCTTTCCATGCGTAAAAGGCTGATCCTTGCCTGCCTCTCATCACCTTATGTCAGTTAAAGTGTGAAGTACAGCTGTCAATACTTAAGCCCTAAAGCAGTGTTACTTTATTACAAAAGCTGCTCCAATCTAAAAAGCCCAAGATACTCACTCACTGAAGAGACCACACAGACTGACTCTTCTTTTAGCCTTTAATGTATGTTATTTGTATTCGTCAGCCGATTTTAAGAGGGTTTTTTGGGTTTAAGCTGCAGTGTAGTAATAGTGTGAGACACACAGTTTTTCATCTCTGAGTGTTGCTGTTAATAGCATTGACTCATAATGGTTCCCTGTTCTTGGTACTTTGAACACCGTGCTAATGAATGGCATGTGTGCGGGTAGGTTTGTGTGTGTAAGATACAGCAGAGTGGCGGGCCCATGCTGCTCTGTGCAGTAGGTGGTCCTGCCTGCTTGTATGCATGTGTGTTGTGCTGTAAAAGAGGTGGTCTTTTTCTGATCCTTGAAGGTAAATTTTTTTTGCCCAGCTTCTGTATGTACATGGTGGTGGTTAATGCCACACACTCATGCTCACAGTGCTCTCCCATAGAGTTTCAGCCCGGCTGCTGCTGGTGGTAGCTGGCATCACATCACAGGGGCTGCACTGTTTGACTCATTTTACCTACAGAAATCACTTCTGAGTCCCAATGGGAGTCCTGCCTCTTTCTTCTACCACACATGCTGATTAAAATAATCTACACAAAGTAGTAAACTTTCAATTCTGTCTTAATTTCATCTTAAATAACATTCGTGGAGGTCTCTTTAGTTCCCTTCACATGCCAGGCTTCAGATGTGGAGAGCCAAAGCTTTAAAAGTGTCTCAGTCTAAATACTTATTACACTTGAGGGTTACTGACAGCAACTAATATTTAAATAATGGGTTGGTATTAGACCTGCAAGCAAAGATTACTTTGGTAGTCGACTAATCGGCAAGTTTTTCTTTGATTATTTGATTATGCAACGATTATTTCAACAACTCTTATCTCCACTTCCTGTGAGCAGATCTCTTCTTCCAGGCTCCAGGTACCTTTCCCCACCTTATTCCTTCCACCTGTGAATCACCAGCAAATTAAGATAACGACTCAGGAAATTAATTTTAAAATAATCAGTGTATTAAGTAACACAAATTAAAGTGCTAGTAGTATTTAAACAAACAAACAAAAACAAAAAAACAACTAAAAATAGGAAACTAAAATGGCTTCTGTCCATAAGTTCAAATAAATTTTCACATTAAATCCAAAAGATTTAGTTTCCACTCCAAAATAACAAGTTACCAACGTTAACAGATGAATTCATCATGGATTCACAGTTGCAGTGGACAAGCTCTGCAGTGGGGCTTTCGCTTATTTTTGAGATGATGTTCCCAGCAGCTGAGAACAATGGAAAAGTCGCTCTCTGTCATGACTTCAGCCATTTGAGAGGTGCATGAGCCTCATTAAAAGACGAACTCAACGCCTGTGCTTAGTACTAGTGAAACAGAACAAAACAGAATTATATTGTCTGCCTTGGCAGACAATATAGGCGCATAGTTGCCCACATAGTTTCCTGCAGTGTATTGCAGTTACATAAACAGATTTACGTGATATGATGCATCGACAATAAAATTCTGCATCAACAAATTTTTATAGTCGACATCTTTCATTAGGCCAACGAATCTGGGTGCTATCTTTTCTGTGAGACAGATATAACATTACAGAAAAATTCTTTTTGTATCCTTTTGTGTAATCTTGAAGCTTGAAAAGAAAAACAACTGGACATCTTTAAGTTTCTTGAAGACATTTCACCTTTCATCTGAGAAGCTTCTTCAGTTCTGAAGAAGCTCTAAGGAACTGTTCTTTTCTTTCCAAGCTCCTTAGATTACCATGACCTGGATGACTGAGAAGCTACACAGATATCCTTTTGTGTCGTTATGCATATTTTTCTGTAAAATACTTTGATGGACAGAGGAGTTCATGGTCGACCTCAAGGTGCCCAGGATCTGTGGCTGCAAAACAAGCACAAATCATTATGCCTCCACCACCGTGCTTGACAGCTGGGAGGAGTTGTTTGTCCTGATGGTTTTCATCAAACACAGCATGCATTATGGCCAAACATTATGGCCAAGGATCAACACTCTGTACATCGAAAAGGCATCATTTAGAAGGCTTGTGGTGTGTTCAGACATAGACTTTGTATTTGAGATTTAGCTCTTGGGTTGTTTGCAGTTCTTCTGATCTTGGGGTGAATTAGCTAGGACGTCCAATCCTGGAAATATCTTTAAAACACACCTGAATGACTGCATACTTGTGAGCAGAATGATGGAAGTTTTCTTATTTAAGACACAGTGTGCACATAGAAAAGTGAGAAGTTACGATCACTTAACATAGCACAGCATCATTTATACAGAAAAGAGAAAAACTTGGTAAAATTTCAGAATAAATCTCCCTTTAAACCCTTTAAATTAATTTGTCTGAATTACGCTAACAGCAAAATAAAATGTGGTACCTTTTTAAATCTGCTTTGGTTTTACTTGCACCTCTGATCTGTGATTAAGAGCCCTTTTATTCTCTTTTGCAGAATGTGTAATTGCTGCTGAACCTGAAATAGCAGTCTTTAACTCAAGACATGGATGATTAGCCTCTCTGCAGGAAGAGGTTTTTGAGAGAAAGGACCAGCCCAAGTTTTTTTTTTTTTTTTTACTTCAGACCTGCCGTGTGAAGCTTGTTTGCATTTCTCATTCTATCGCAGTATTTCTTTGTAGTACTTGATCAGCAGTTGTTGGGCCGTGTTTGCATATTGCACTATGCAGTCGGTTTTGCTTGATAGTGTCAAGATACCAGAATATTTTATCTGGAAGCAGGAAAATGCTAGCCCATCTGGAACAGGTGAAGTAAAAGTGCAGTCTGGAACTTTATACCTGTGGAGATTTTTAGTGTCAAGAAGTGAGGAACAAAATCTTTGCTTCTTTCAGTATAATAATAAAAGAAAAAAATCTAAGCCTGGGCATGTCCCTTGCACAAAATTCCTCCACACATTGAAAAGAAGAAAAAAACAAAGACTTGGACTCAAAATGTTTAGATAAAAGGATTTTTTTGTCCTCTTCACCTTTTGGTGGCTCGCCTTTATGAGGAAGATGAGGATGTCTCTACCCTCTCAGATTGTGACGCAAGACTCTTTGATGTCTCACAAGATATCAATAACATTTCAGCACTTTGAGTCATCTCTCAAACTCACTCTTTTGAAGTCTTTACTTGTCATTGGATGGAAATAAAACTCCAATCAGGCACTTCCCAGGAGAACTCTTCCGTCCCTTCATGTTTCCGTTTTTTGTCTTTATTCCTCCCTCGCTCTTTGTTCTTGAAATGAAAAGCAGTGTGATTTGGCTACAGCATCAGACGCTGTCTGGACTGACTACATCCTGCAGACAGGGCCTAATAAAATAAACATTTTCTGCAATATGTTTGCATTGGACTAAAACTGGCTTTAGGACTGTCTGTGGCTGTTGCAAGTTCATGTGTGTCTCGTTTACAGCACCTTCCTGTATCATTTACAGTTACTGTGACCGAGGCCTTGTTACACAATCCTGTGCCCATTCAGAGCGGATGCAGTAATTGGAGCATTTGTGCACCAAAACATAAACACAGTAGTAATAGTAATAATAATATACTTGTTTGTATTTTTCTGTTTGCATGTTTCTAAATCAGTAAAGATTTTGCTTTAACGCCAGGGTATCTCTGCAAAGCAGAAAATAGAGCCCTGTAGGTATTTAGCTAAAACTAGAGTATAAAAACCAAAAATACGCTCTAAGGCAACTTTTAAAAGGCCTGAATGAAAAAGCATTGCCTTTTTGTAACTGCATACAGGTTGATTGATTTATATATTTCACGCACACTGTTTGTTAATTTAAATTAAACGTCACAGTTTGCACAAACTTTCGACACAAACTTCTGAGAAGCTGTACTTTAGGCTTCCTGTTCTCTGCTGAGAAAGGTTTTGGTCAAAGCAAGGTGTGTCACAAGAAGGCATTTGTGTGTTATGCAAAGATGTTACAGGAAATAAGTCTGTTTTTATGGGAAACACAGACACGTGGCAATAAAAGGAAGCAAGAGAGCACAAGAGCGACATCGGAGCTGGATTGTGAATTATGTCCGGGCTTGTTCGCTCTGTGTGTTAATGATTATCAGAAAAACTCTGAACTCTTTGTGGCCTTTGGTGCAAACACACACATCATGCATATTCTGATCTTCATTAACTGTCTTAGGTAGCAGAGTGTGTGCAGCTCACATACTTTTGCTGCAAGTATGCACTGGCAAAACAAAATTTGCATATTTCAAAGGAAATGTGGATGTTTGGCCTGTGTGCTATAGAGCTGTTGGTATGCAACACATTACATGCATTACATAAGGTCAAATCATTTAATAGCTTGTGATGAACACCTGAGACACATTCAGTGCCAATAATTGGAATCATCATTTCGATAGAAGTGCAGGAACTGAAAACAAAACTAGATTTTATTGGCCTCTTACATCAGTGCATTCTTACCAAAAACATATTTGCATTCTTTATCTGTTTCTTCCTCCTCATCCAGTCATCTTCCATTCTTCCTTGCAGTGTTGCATCGCCCAGGATGTCTTCAAAGCTTCACCCTTCCAATAACATCGCCCATGCCCGACGGACGGTGAACCAGCTGAGAATAGAGGCGAGCATTGAGAGGATAAAGGTACAGTGCCTCGTTCAAGCCACCTCTCCTGTTCTATGTTATGTATCTGTTCCACCAACAACATATGGTCCAGGGGTGCTTGCTCTGGGGGGTGTAATGTTCTCTTTACATATGATTTGTCACTATATAAATAAAATAAAATAGAATTAATGGCTCAAAGTGTAGTGAACTGCTCATGTTCAATGTTACGAGATACCTTAACAAATAAAATACACATTTAAAAACATGTTTATGTTCTGCAGAATAACATGAATGGAGTGTGGGGAAAAATGGTTGTTTTTGGCCAAATGTGAGGTGTGTACATGGGATTAACCAGCCAATCACACAACTGCTTCTCTTAAAAGTTGTTGCTTCTACACAAGCAATAGCATTGGATGATAACTCGTGAATTTGAGCCACTTTGTGGAATACAAATTACAATTTGTTTAGTGATTTGTATTCCTTTTTCAGAGTCTTTACTCCATCAAACCTGGCAGAGACAGACACGATGGTCACATGTTTAGATACAGTGGTGCTTGGAGTTTTTAAGGATATCCTTATTTCACATGTTCATCTCAAATAGATGTGATGCCGTACTCTAAAACCAGTCTAAAGATCCAAAGCTTTTCAACATATAATTGTTGAGCAGTACATAAATATGTGTTGTGTTTACAAATGGATTGACTTTGTGTGCTTGCGCATTGCAACAAAGACATCCATTAAAAGCTCTCTCCATTCGTATGTGATGTTTTTTTTATTTACTTATTTTTTATTGTTTCCACAGGTATCCAAGGCCTCTGCAGACCTTATGAACTACTGCACCGAACACGCCAGAAATGACCCTCTCCTTACGGGCATCCCTGCTTCAGACAACCCCTTCAAGGAAAAAAAACCCTGCACTATATTGTAGTGGATGTCACCTAGCCTTTATCTGTTTTTTTTTTTTTCTTTTGTGTGTTTGTTTGTTTGTTTTGGCTTATTAATGTTCCTGTATTTCTTTGTGTTGGGAGAAATTGGAGGAGTGGACTGGGATCGAATCATTACCATGTGTTCAGAAACCATGTGTTGTGTGCCTGTTCCAGCAGCCCTGTATTATTCACTGAAAATATTGACCCATTCTTCAGTTTGAGCTCTAACCACTAACAAAACGTTGCTTCCAAGTACGTAATATCAAAGCAGATATCCTTGTCGAAATGTCCCAACAGCACTTGCAATCCTCAGTGATGGATTTTGGTCTTTCCTGATATGTGCACAACGTCATCTCCGGTGGGCAGCGACTGTTACTCATCTCCCTGGTTTGCCTTAAATGGGTTCATGCAGCCAAAGTGTCCCTCCTGCCCTTTAAAGTGTGTCATCCAAGGAGAACAGTGAGAGCTTCAGAAAGAGGTGCCACCGGTATTGTACGGTTTGGATTACTAAATTCAGGGGCGGGTTCTGCTCAGATGTTACCGTGATGTATTTTGGATTGGAGCAGTAACACTTAGTGTTAAATTCCAGTAACGCAAAGTATTTTACAACCCATCCCAGCTGCAGCAGCCCCCAGCTGCTTCTGCGTAATCTGCATCCAGCTCAGTTCAGTCTGTTCCTCTCTGGTACTACAGCTGTAATCTGATAGTGTAAAATCTCCTTGCAGTATAATTACCTTGTATAGTGTTTCCTTTAGCTGATTTAATGAACCGTCATGTTGATATTCATTCCATATGAACACCTTTGGTCAAAGATAATCAGTGCTCAGATTCAGATTTACATGAAGCAACACTGTGTAATGAAAAGCCGGGACCAAGAAAACCAATGACACTGCATATTAGAAATATTTTTAATGGTGTCTGAATTTGACTGTTTTAGCCGTCCTTTGTAAAAACTTTCTGCGGTACGTTATTTTTAGGATGCTCACGACAAAACGTGCTAGCGATCTTTACTCAGTGTCAGCCCCGCCTGCTCGCTCATCACAAGTGTCTTAGTCAAGTGAACGTGCACATCATTATCTTTAAGTGTTTTGGCACCAGGTGGGCGTAATGTGTGTGCATTGATTTATTTTTACTTTTTATTTTTTTTAAACCACTCTCTTAAAACTGCTCTAGTTTTCCACTTTTGTGTTTGTGGGGATGGAGGGTGTCGGTCTGGCATGTGCTGTATGTTGTGATTTGCTGGGAGAAAAATATCTGCTATGGTGAATTTTACAATAAGAAAAAAAAAAGACAGAATAGATAGTATTAATTCAAATCTTCTTCACTCTAAAGCCTTACTTATGTTTGCCTTGTATGATGAAGAACATTCTAACTTGGGAGTACTTTCTTTAAAGATGTTTCTATCAATTTTTATCTGTGGGATGAAAGTGATTTGTAACAATATTGTGCCATCGGGTTTTGTCTACATGTCACGAGCAGAACTTGTTAAAATTGTGTTTCACTTACCAGGTGCTCCGCTTTTCAGCAGTTTTGGTATTGTTGTCTTCTCCAAAGGGTACTTTCAGGTCTTCAAATCAGCAAGATCTAGTGTTACTATCAATGGTATTGTTATTTTTTATGATTTTTGTCTAAGCTGTCAGTTCTTCTTACTTGCAATAAACGAGTCCTGTATGCCTCCTAAGGAAAAAATTCAGATGACCACTGCCATGTCCTAATTTCTGTCCATTCACAGTGACTCTGTAACAGCCTTATTGTACCATTTATAGATTAATTTAATTGTCAAAATCTGCATTTTGATAACTGTCTTTATTAATATTCCAACATTTGTATGAAGACTTAACTGAAATTAATAAAGTGAAGCATTCCTACAGTCCAATACTGTACTAATATCTCAATAAAAACGTGCCGTGCTGCATAGCCTTGCTACTATCCATGCTGAGATTTATGCAGAATAGAAACCCGATGCTGGCCTCTCATGTCCATAGTGTTATCTGGGGCTACTTCCTCTCATTAGACATGTATGTATTTCTTACTTGGGAGAGAAGAGACCTCGGGCCTCTCACCAGGGCAGTTTAAAAACCGTGTGCAAAGCTAAATATAGAAAGTGCAACACTCTGATTTCCACCACTCTTGGATAGTAACTATTTTGGGGCACAGCCTGCTTAGCCTGAGAGTCTGTTTTTCTTCTCTGCTGGTGGCCTCTTGGGTCTCTCTGACCTTGTTTCATGGCAGCTGGTGGGTACAGAGCTTTTTACGTTTTCTGCTCCACACAATGGGAAGATCATACAGGAATGGCATATTGTCAGCTATTGTAACAACTACAGAAATACAGGGCTGGATGTGACAGTTCTCACACATACAGCCACGTAGTGATGGAAAAAAAAAAAAAAAACCAAAACAATGTCACCTATTATTGTTCAAAAGCTACACAGGCGAAACTCTCCTCTTGTTTTCTCACGGTGCTCGTCCCTCAGAGATCAAATGTCACTGCAGGAAACATGAGCGTTGTTAGTATTGTACAGACTATTAAAAATAGAGACTTGTAATGGAAACTTTAGAGGGGACCTGTTCTCATTTCTAACTCCATGTTTTTATTAACCGACTCTACTAAAGTACCTTTGCAGATTTGCAGCTGAAAATAGTGCTTTTTTTTTTTTTACAAACAAAAAAAAAATTTGTGGGCTTTCCTCTGATTGGCTGGCCCTCATAAACAAACAAAGTGTCAGAGGCTTATGTACTTACAGCCAGGGTTGTGTGCTTGAGATGACCGTTGGACTCTGAAGCCTGACCTTATTACAGTTAGCATCTGCCATTGTAACATTACACATATGACAAATAAAAACAGGCCCATTTCAAGCTGACAAAGCTATGATAAGATTAAAAACTTGTGGCATGTAAAAGCATCCATTAAAGATGTTTTACAGACATCTGTAGACATGAATGCCCCTGAAGGCCACTGCAGTAATCCCAGTTTGTCATTGTGCAGCAATGTGAGAGTTGGGAGTGGGGGGTAGCGGCTGGCAGGGTAGCTCACTGACCATGTGCCCCACTGTGAAAATCTGTCCTGGCAGTTACAGTGTCAGTGTGTAGGAATGTGCTGATGTGTGGGTGAGGCTGGATGATGGAGGGTGTGGAGTGCAGTTGCACCTCAGTTCCTCTGGTAGTCCCAGCTGCATGTTTATCTCTCCATTGCCAGCTAATCTGTACTTTTCCTGTTTAAGTTACAATATGTAATGCACAACTCACCCATAAACAGTGCTGCAAATAATAGAGTACTTTCACGCTAGTGCTGCCTGTATGTCAGTGACTTTATTATTTGTGTTATCAACACTCCTACTTTGGAACATTTCAGAAACTTCTAATTGGCTTCATTTATATAACAGCTTCAGTTTCACAATGATAACATTAGAATATACAAACATGATTAAAGGCCCAGCATGCCCTTATAAACTAATAGGCATTCTCAGTCAGTATGATTCAGCATACTGACACCAAAGCTGTGTAAAACTCTGCAGGAACTTTCATGAGGGCCCCATGTGACAATAAAAATGATGATGCTGAAACTCCTGATGTGATCTATTAGTTTTAGTGATTTAGAGTATGCAATTTCTGGAAATATTACGGTGGGGTTGTTGCTACTATAAAAGCTGCACAACTTTTTCACTAAAAAAGATGGATTGAGATGGCATTTAAAGTTATATAACAAAACATTGGAAAACTGAAATAGAAGGCTTTTATTTTTGAAAATAAATCAGACTTCAAAGCATCTGTTACATTCCTAGAACTCTCTGTGGCTTTTATTTTGAAAACCATGTTTAAACTGGTCATGCCGATGTAACTGGGACTGTCATGTAAGTTTCCACCACTGCTTATAGCTGAGCTCATGAAACCTAAGCGAAACGCCAAACTAGCATGAAATTTGACAGGTGCGACTGGTGAAATGTACCTTATCAATATTTACCATTTCCATAGATGTGGCCTAATTTTTCCGATTCACTTGTTGCTCTGGCTGTCATGCACCCACCAGCTTAAAAGCTCCACGAGCCCACACAGTTAGTGAAACAACTCCTAAATACTTAGGGTGTAATCGTCCATCCCGTCTATATTCTGACACTTCATCTCGAGGAGATAGTCGTCCCCTGTGATGCAAAATCCTTAGAGCAGGACAGCACTTTACTGGCTGGAGTAAATCAAGTCTTGTGCAACATCCCTGCAATGTTTAAACAGTGCTGATAAATGTGTCACGGGTCAAATTCATACGGTTGTGCAGCTGATATGTATTGTTGTGACAGGTGTGTCCTCTTGTTGATATTAATTTGTTTGCCATTAGGATAGCATCTCAGTATAACGCAGCCTAATCAAAAAGCCTTAAATAGCCATAAAGAAGAACCAACACCTCTCTGAGTCTGGGTTAAACAGCACTGATTTTTGGCTAGATGCACCTATTAAAATTATAATTGATCTTGACAGCGCACAGTGCGTTCAAATCTCAATTCATTATATTACTGCCTCAGGATATTAGGTTACATCAGCACAAGCCAAATATTCGACGTTCAGAGTGACTCAGCAGCTAACTGAACTTTGCTCTGTGTTTAAACAACAGTGAACTTTTCCCTGCAGTAGCACACGACCACCAGGTGACGATCACGAAAAGGGAAAAACATCCAGCATAAACTTCAAAGGAAGTCAAAAGTGGTATTACAGGGCTTACATCAGCCCTCCGCTGCTCACATCTTATAATAACCTTTCTTTACATCACAGAGATGCCACGTTACATCAGTCAGCGTCACTTCCTGCAGTCACAAGCCGGGCGACCTTTCACACGGTGCCAGCTAAAACTGTAAAACCACAGGGCCTGTGGGAAATTTTCTAGGGCAGGGGAACATTCTGATCTAGGTAGCACTTAGGAGTGGCTTTAAGTGCACTTTGCATTTCTGAGTGCAGTGGAGGCTTCTGGGTGATGTAGTAAAAACAGAGACCAGCTGAAGCATTACTGAGGCACTGGGTTTTGTTTTGAAGTCCAGTCCTCTGCTATATGCAGCTCAAACTGTGAGATTTAAGTAGAGCACAAAACCCACCAAACTGGCAAAGAATTAGTAAATTCATTCTGACTACAGAGAAGCAAGTCAGTCAAGTTGAGCAGCAGTAAATAATTCACACAGAGGCTGAACTGGATTGTGCAACTCAAGGACAGGCTTCTGCCCTTCTCGTGATTATGACTGTGCACTTTTAGAAGGGGATTGCCCGCCTGACTCCAGCCCTGTGACATCATCGAAACTCAACTCCAGAGAGATCACCTGCATGTGACATAGCTGGGAAGGGAAAGGGTGAGGGGGTGGCGGGAGCGCTCCAGATCATCTTGCACGAGGTTGCGTGCCAAAACCTTGTTTAGAATACGCTCAAAGTTTTTTTCCACTCCTGTTTCCAGTAAGGACTCTCTGCACATTATTGGTCCTGAGGGGAGAAGCCAGCGTATTCTGAGCAAACCCTCAAGAGACCTGCACTAGTTCTCAATATTTTATTTAAATTTTTTTTTTTAAAATGGTGTGGTACATGTTCCCCCCCTCCTGAGGAAGTCAGCTAGTGAAAATGCAAACTGCCAACAACAAATCAGAGTATTGGTGAAACGGGAACCTGTTTGGATGAATGAGCAAGGTCCTGCTGACCGAGGCAGAAGCTGGAGCAGAGAGAGCTGCGAGGATTATTGTTCTCTTCAGCTCAGAGATGGCACTGAGGCCAACATGACCCCTGTGATCCACATGTGATCCACTTGCTAAAGGTCCCATTTCAGCTCAGCTTTGCTAAAATTTCCAGAAATGCAAAGGAGAGATCAACAAACGCAGTTCTTGTTCCAAAAACAAAATACTTTTATTGACACCAATACAGATAAGTGTCTCGTATTCAGATATTACAAATATTTTTTTATATATATATAAAAAAAAAAAAAAAAAAAAAAAAAAAAGGAAAAAAAGAAACATAAATACACTTAAATATAATTAGAAATAATTTAAATTGTAACAAAAGAACTATTTCACTTGTGGCAAGAAGCCAGCTGGTATTAGAAACACTAGATACACAGAATGTCTTCACTGGATGTGTAGCCCTTCCCTTTTTTCTCTCTTTTTTAAATATAAATTATCACAACAGCAAAGTGAACATTAACAGTTTTTAATCAAACAAGTGAAACTGCAGTAGGTCCAGTGTTTCAACGAGTGCTTTGTTTCTGCAGAGAGAGGCCGAGGCCTTGGTCCACTCAACGGCTCCACGTTCTGGTTTCCCCACACTTTTCTGACTTCTCCGTCACAGAGTCCTTTACCAAACAAACACATGATAGTATCCGTCTGTACTGTGTCCAGCCAGTGTCACATTTAAAGAAAGAAAAGAAGAAAAAAAAAAACAAAACAATGCCATTTCCACCGTGTGATGATACAAGAACCTCGCCGTCTCATCTCGATTGCCAAGGCTGACAGATGCAACTCCAAACAGTCCTGTGAAAATCCAACCCCTGCTTTTTTTCCCCTCCTCATCCTTTAAATACATCATCTCATACAGACAGCAAGGTTTTTTCCCCCTCTTTTCTTCCAGGAATTTTCTTCCCCCCCAAATCAGCAGTGCTTTGGAATTTGATCTTTGGATGGTAATCTGTGTCCATCGGGGTTCACGCCTCTCTTTGTGTGCAGATAAAATTAGTCTCTGGACACATTTTTGTCGCTGGTCAAAGTTCATCGTTCAGGCAAGTTGATGATGGGTACCCACTGGTCCATGCAGCGGCTCTCTCTGCAGAATCTGCTCAGTTTGCTCAGAGCTGGGTCCTTCCATGATGTAGAATGTGGGCTCTAAAAATGCATATAAACAAAAGTATGTAAATGCCTGTTCATTTGTTTACTTCAAAGTACAGATAGTTCCTGTATGTGCTGGTAGATTCAAGGTATTTTCCTCCACCGTGATTCCTCAGAAGTCATGAGGGAGGAGTCATATTCATGTTTACTAAATTCACAAGAACAAGTACTGACATGTTTCCCATGTGAGTAAGAGTTTCAGGCATGTGCACAAAATTCTTATGGTTTTAGCTATAAAACCACATAGATAGAGGAAGAGACACTTACAGTGACAAGGACACAGTGGAGGTCCAAAGGTTCGCCCCCGCTCTGTTTTCCACCTCCCCCACCACCCAATATTTGTGCCAGGCGCCTGGTGTTGTTGACTTTCAGGATGTTGATGTCATTCTCGCAGCAAAAAGCCTGAATGAGAGTAAAGTGGATCTGCAGGGCCACGTCTTTAACGTCCTCTTCATCTGCAGCCAGGACGCACAGAACCACATTATCAGGGTCTCTGCGGGAAAGAGAGAGAGGCGCTGTTAGTCTATGAGGTCATGCATGTACATGCTGCATGGGCTGCTTTCACACAGGGGCAACTTGTTGCAAACTTCAGGACAGATACGTTGCACTTACACATTGAGCGACTTGGCAGCCTCGTAGACGCCGACTGTAATGCCTCCCTGTGGCAGCGCAGAGGTGAGGACTTCCTCCAAAGCTTTGGCCACCGTGTCCATTCTGCAACACACAGTTTCACTTTAACAAACGTTGCAACAGCAGTTTTAACACACACACATAAACCCAAGGAAAACCCCCACCGTACTCTGTCTGGGTAGCGTTAGCTAATCGGACTCCTAGCTAACCAGCCGGTATTCCCTGACTTCGAGCACAACTGACAGCCGTGCAAGGTTTGTTTAACCACTAAAAAAAAACAAAAAAAAAACAAGCTAACTCTTGTCAGTTTTGCGGTTTGAGTCCCTTTGACTAGCTTTAATTAGCTCTCCAGTGAGAAATCTGGTGTTTTTCGGTCACCTAAAAGCACACAGCAGCAGCTACGTTAGCTAAGTGGAGACCGGGGCTCGCGACCGGAGCGGTTAACTGAAAAGACACCGGACTGTAGCACCGACAGCTCGCTGAGAAACACCGTCCACACAGCAGCTACAGGCAAACCCCCCCACAAACCTGGATTTATCTTTATCGTGCACTTATCTAATTAATGCATGCGATTAGCTGCACATAAACCACATCAACCTTTAAAATACAAATAATCCAAATTATTTACCTTTCCTGAGAATAATCCGCATTTAGTTCCTCAAATGTCATGTTGTACATAAAATCCAAATCCACCTTTAGCGCAAACAGTACAGTGCTGGTGAGGTATCCTAGTGTCTTCTCGACTTTACACACTTTTTTTTTTATCTTTACTCCACTGTGCTGCAACTGAGAGATAAATCTGGCAACTTCACATTATAAGAGTCCGAGAGAAAGCCCGGCTCTCTCCATTGGTGGTATGCTAATTCTCCTGCTGTGGGATTGGACACATAGGACAGCAGGCGTGTCTGTCTCTTGTCGGGTTACTACCGCAACTGTAGCTGTCTGCTGACCTCCCAACAGTTACACAAAACTACTATTCACTCATATTTCCTCACTAACCTGACTGCAGCTATGTATGTGTGTATGTACAAAGCTTTAGCCTTAATGTTGCCGGTGACCCACTACTGAAGCCAAACCTTGTCCAGCACAGGTATGATTTTATGATGATACAATGACGTAAAGCAACGTTAGAGCAGCCCGACACGAAACAACACGCTATGTTTGAAACTTCATCACTGAAAGCGAGTGTTTAATAAAATAAAGTGTGAAAAATCTGCTGCAGAACTCACCCTCACTCCCGGACAGGACACAGCGGACATCAGGACAACTGCATGGCAACGGGACGCCGCTTAGGAAAGCTGCCCTCTGATTGGTCGACAGTAGAGCGTGCGAAAACACACCGAAACCGCGCGCGAGATCTAAAAAGGACTGGCGCGAGAAAGACCAGCGAGTGGAGGCAAGACTCTTGTGACCCACTTACATCACCTGAGCTACTAAAGCAACGGTTCCTTTACAAAACAGCACTGCCCATCCCTTCCTGTTTCATTTAGATTTAAGCTTTGATTCCAAAGTAAGAATTTTCTTTTTATCATGGAGAGACAAAAGTAAATAAATAAATAACTAAATAAAATAAAAATAAAATAAAAGAATAAATAAGATTTGGTTTCCTACAATTTTCCCAATATTTGAGATATTACAGCAGTTTAAAAGTAAGTAGGTATATTTATTTTTCTAAAGCAAATTTAAAACTAAAGTGCTTTACAGTAAAACAAAATAGTATAAATGGGTTTATGCTACACACTTTCACAATGTTTAAATGAAATAACCTGAAAGCAACCAATCCTCCAATCACAGTTCCAGACATCAGTTTCTCATATAGCTTGACAGAGAACTGATGTCATTCCAGAGTTTTGAAATAAGCTATGACCACAGGATGATCAGAAGTGACTGAGAAGCAGACCTTAATGGTCTTGAGGGAATATATGGCCACAGCATACTACATATACAGTTGCAAGACTTTTTAAAGGCTTTACACACAAATATGGCTCCTAACACAGAGCTCTCTTTTTCGTTCCAGTCAGTAATCTGGCTGCAGCATTTTGGACTAATTGTATATGGGAAAGAGATGATTGTCATTGTAACCTTACTATGACCACTATTATTTAAAATCTAATTACAGAGAAACTTTGGTTGGTTAAATGTAGTTAAATGTAGTAAGCTAGTAGTAGCTAAGCTCACCTTTACATCACTTTTCCAAACCAACAACAGTATTTATTTGATTAAAAATTGTATTCAGATTCAAGTTTTGTTGTGAAATTTAAAGCCAAATGTAAGAAACCCTTAAACCAGATTAATATCCTGTTAAATGTTTAAAATCTGGGTTTGTATTATAGTTGAAAATAAAATAATTTAGCTTTTCCATTGGTTTTTCAATATATTTGTAATCTTCAGTGTCATTTATTTTAATGATGTTGATATTTAGGAGCAGCAACGATGCTCCACCTGAGCATCGTTGCTGCTCCAGGTGGAGGAGTTTAGGTATCTCAGGGTCTTGTTCACAAGTGAGCAGAGAGCCACTCCAAAGGGTGGCTGGCCTCTCCCTTAGAGAGAGGGTGAGAAGTTCAATCATTCAAGAGGGGCTCAGACTAGAACTGCTACTCATCAAAAGGAGCCAGTTGAGGTGGTTCAGGCTTCTAACTTTAGGCGTCTCCCAGGTGAGACGTTCCAGGCATGTACCACCAGGAGGAGTCCCTGCTGCCCCTGTGACCCGGCCGCCGATAAGTGGAAGAAAATGGATGGGTGGATGACATAATTGTTTATATCACATGTACAGTTTTTGGTAACAGTGTAATAATGTAGCTTGATTGTCTATCTTGAGGTCTGTTTTATAGCAAATGTATAAAAAGTTTTAAGAAGAGCAAATACAAGTTGGTGTTCTAAAGAATATAGTTGTTTCCTTGCAGCAGGAGAGATGAGCTCTCCTTCATAGATGGTGCAGTCAGTGAGGATGGTCACCTGCAGGGTGAAGGTTATTGGATCTCCAAACCACATCAACTGCTTCTCAAATTAAGAAAGTTGGGGCAATGTTAAAGACTTTCTGCTGCACCTACATTTAGATCACCCAAATCCATGACAGTCATTCAGGGAGTAATGCCTAAAACATCCTCAAAAATATTACAACGTACCAAGCTTCTGGGTCTGAATGCAAAACAGATACGCTGTTTGAGCCTCCTTGAGACTGCAGTTGTTGCTGAACAATAAATACATTTTATATTGATTATATCAATGATGTAACTTGCAATACAAATTTATGGGAGGCTTCTGTTCACTAGAACAGTATCCAGCATATTGGCTGATATACTTTATTGCATCTGAAAATAAAAGTTGGGCTGATTTTTCATTGCCTCAAAAGAAATGTTTATAATTATTATTTTGTAATCATACTTACACACTGTGTTTATATTGATTAAGTGTTGCACTAGAAATTGCTTAAGCTCAAGGATGATAATGTAATGTGATTAAGTTAACCCATTAAGAAATGTTTATGTCAGTAGATAAACATTAAGTATTGCTCACTCAGAAAAATGATTTTTAGTACTGTGTACTCACAATAAATAAGTTATCCTAACTTACTCTTAAGTACGCTTTACTTAGTTTTTTTCAGGAAATGAGTTTATGTAATTTTTTTTAAAGTTCTGGGAACTAATTAGACTTTACAGTGTAGGCTAAATCTTTCTGTTTAATCAGGCCTTCCGTTTTTAATTTTCCTTTGTTATTTATGTTTTTTAATTTTAATTTTTATTCTGTTTGAATATGGTTCTAATATTCGTGTTTTAATTGTCATTGTGAGTTTTATGTCTGTGAAAAGCGCTGTATAAATACTTCGAATTCTCAAAGTTAGTATATTTGGAAGTCTTCTCTTTTCTGTCCCAGTAAAACCATTAGTCACTGAATAAAGCTAAATATAATATAATGACATAACATGATGTGCTGGCCTGTCACAGGAGCACATTCAGTGAGAGACTGAGGTTATCCAAACGCACCACTGAATGACACAATAGATCATTCCTGTCCGTGGCTAAAGTTAAAGTATCTTATGGATAGAATTAGCAATATTAGCTACTTAAAGTAGGGTAATTTGGTGTGATTTTGTATTCTGTTGTTGGTTAGTGTAGTTTAAAATCTATTTCCTAAATAAATAAAACTATTTTACCTGAATGCATTTTTATTCCTAGTTTCATGTAAATGTTCCTGACCAGCATCTACTTTTTTGAGCCTTATCTTGGCCTTGCTGTTATCCTGAATACAGACTTTACATTAATAAAAGAAAGCTGCTATTCATATCCCATATCCTGTATGCACTTGTGTTTTGATTGTTCAACATCTCAGTAACTCACCTCTGTGCAAACACCGGATGATCAGATGGCTTCTTCATACCACAGTTTCCCAGTTTCTCTCCCTCCACTGAGCATTTCCAGGTTTCTCAAGAGCAGGATAAAGAGCTTACACAGTTTTCTGACACTTGGATACAGGATACACACAACACTGGTACAGTCTACCAGTGTGTACATAGCTTACTTACTGATACCTGGACAGTTATATATTCAGGGTAGCTTAAACAACAGTGGTCGCATTGTGACAAGTGGCAAGTTACTCCTGGACAACACATGGAAAATATAAAAAAAAAAGTTAAAGGAAACCATTCTGCAGATGGTAGGGGGTGTTATGCTGCCCCTTGGTGGCTGCAGACAAAAATTACTGTGGAAATATCTTCGCTCTGTGACAGCTCGGATAGGTTGCACATTTCTCAACATACCATAGTCCACGATTACTTTATGGTTAAATGTGTTTTGCTTGGAGTATCAAGCTTAAAAATGTATTCTTGTCCTATTGTTTTTATTTAAGGTAGCAATTAATAATTTTTATCACATTAAGAAAATGGTTAAGCTACTTTACTGCTTAACAAAGACATCAGGTGTATCCAATGAACAAGACTTAACTAGAAACAAGAGTGGGGGGGTCAATCCAAATATCAATAGAATCAATGCCAGTGCTTGTATTGATATCAGATCGATTCTAGTGGTAGCGATAGGATCAATTCTTTGTTTCTATCCTCTAAGTACAGTATATATAAATATGTAGAGATATTTTTTCACACATGCATGTTGAAAACTATCTGAACCTTTTGGTGTTGATTGTCATGTCTATTTTATTTATAGCCTATAGCACATTTAAACAACAGAAGCTGACACAAAGTACTACAGAGACAGGAACAGTTTCACAATACATGAAAAGCTGAAAGGTGTGTTTTGTTGAATTAACTCATTATGTAAGAAAGTAAAAATCCCTGTGATTTAGCAGTCATTAAAATATGTTCTCAATGTGTAAATAAATAATGACTCATCTCATCAGTCATGACACACTGCTCGGCCATAAGCTGCCTTTGTAGAATAAAAGCATCGGCAATGCTGGCCCTGTATTTACTTGGTTTGGTCAAACCAAAATTTGAAATATCGCACAGCTCTACTAGAAACATGTTTTATTTGCAGAAACATACAAAACTAATCGGCTTTCCTGACCTACAGTGTAATGGCTCAAAGCCATGAAGGTCAAAAAGTATAAATAATTC